TTAAGTTAAATAAAATCTCTGACCTTAAGCAATTGACCACATAAATATTAAATATTTGGCCGGGTTAAGTTAAATAAAACCTTTGACCTTAAACAATTGGCCATGTAAATGTTAAACCTTTGGCCGAGTTAAGTTAAATAAAACCTCTGATCTCAAGCAATCGATATGTAAATGTTAAACCTCTGGCCGAGTTAAGTTAAATAAAACCTCTAACCTTAAGCATTTGGCCACATAAATGTTAAATCTCTGGCTGGGTTAAGTTAAATAAAACCTCTGACCTTAAGCAATCGACAACGTAAATGTTAAACCGACCGAGTTAAGTTAAATAAAACATCTGACCTCAATCAATTCTCCACGTAAATGTTAAACTTCTGGCCAGGTTAAGGTAAATAAAACCTCTGACCTTAAAAGTGAAAGCTCAGGCTAACGTACCCCTGATCCTAAGCAATTCAGTTAAAACTTATCCCCGATCAAACACCAGGATCCACTACGATTCACCCATAGTTGGCCAATCTATGTTCAAAATAACGAGACCCATCAGTCAATACGGCCTGACTCACTAAGGCTTTGAATCATATAGATAAATCTTAGCTAAAGGTAAACTACGATCTGTTTGGGTCAACCACTCTTTTCGATTTTTAGTAAAACAAATCAATTGTTACCAAAGAGATAAAGCCCATGAAGGTTATATAGTAATCCTAAAAGACTAACATGGTCACAACTAAAACAATCTGATGAGGGCTCAAATACTATTGGTAAAATATATGGAAAACGTCTAAACATCACAAAATGCATCCTCAAAGGATGACCAATGACAAAATTATTGCGAGTAAATGAGAATGAACTATGACTTTAGTCACACCAAGGATTCTCCAGGGATCGAATCCCAGCACACCAAGTTCTCTAATGAATAAAACAAGATTTAAATCGAGATTTTCCAACCGATATACATCTAAGAATTTGGTTACTAGTGATATTCGAAAGCCCACATGGGTTATTACGATCTTAACAATAAAGCCAGGCATGGGCATAATAAAAAGAAACCGCAACTAGTTGAAATCCCACAGGGGCTTTACGACTTCTCTATGTCTAGAACCTACCGGGTTCCACGACGCCAACAAGTCCAAATACCACACGGGGCTCTCTGACTTATCTATGTCAAGAATCCACAGGGTTCTACGATGCCAATAGGTCGAGATGCCACCAGGGGCTTTCCAACTTATCTATGTCTAGAACCAACGAGTTATACGATGCCAACAGGTTTAGATGCCACATGGGGCTCTCTGACTTATCTATGTCTAAAACCTACCGGGTTCAACGATGCCAACATGTCGAGATGCCACATGGGAATCTCTGACTTATCTATGTCTGGAACCTACCTAGTTCTACAATGTCAACAAGTCAAAACCCCACTGAGGTTCTCCGACTTCTCTATCCTACTTCACTATATCTAGAATCCACCGGGTTCTATGATTGAAATTCCACCTGGGATCTCTGGTTATTCTACATCGTGAGTCCATCAGGGCTCTCCGACTCCTTCAAAGTCGTAAATATTCCTGATCTACAACAGAAATTAATCTATCCTCAAGACCACAAGCTTAAACAAAATCCTTAAAACGCTTATGACAAGTTTATGTGACCCAAGATAAACTAAAAATACTTCACCCTTATGAAGTCGGACAACAAGTTCATATTCATCCCTGATACAATTTACTGGGCTTAGAAAGGACCGTTCGAGTCGGAGCCATTATGGAATTCTAATGGATGAACTCGTTAAAGAATGGTTATTAATGAGCAGTTACAAATGGTTAATGGTTACTAAAATCCATTAACCACACCTCGTTAGATCCAGGGATAGAGGAAGGTTTATGATATAAATAGGTCTTGAGACTAAATAGAAAAAGGGGGGAGGATCAATGAATAATGCAAAAAGGAGAAACATGTGAAAACTTTGGACCACCAACAATGGTGGCCATGAGTCCTTCCTAACACACCTCCTTCCAGACAGGACGATTGTGACCTCGCCTGACTAGCTTTAGTGAGGTTTCTCCAAATAATGTTTAGAGACAACAAATCTTCTTCTAGGAAATCAAATAGTCTTGTATAATAAAGTTGGTTTATGTTATGAACCTAAGAATAACATTAGAAATATTAGATATGCCATGCTCATCGAACTTTAAAATGTAAAACTCTCAAATGCAATTATGGTAATAAAAGTGGTCATGTTGATTTAGTTTGCTTTATTAAGAAAAGTCATGAAAGTAAACATGATTATCCTTCTTCAAATATTTATAAAAATTTCATATTACAAAACGAGAAACATATATGCTTCATCATGTATATGTAATTATGATTCTGATTAGAAATATAGTAAAATATTTATCACACTAACAATGTGTGAAGAGTGTGGATTTGTCGAGTAATGACGTCGAATAACATTCTGAGTTCTTGGAGCTCAATGGTTTGAGACATTACTTTAGCTAATTGTTTTTTATGCTTTTTGTTGAATATGGTGAGGTTGTTAAACCCGCAATTTGTATGAATTTTTTCAAGGATGTGGTTTGATTTAAATAATAGGCCGGTAGTATTCTTTTCCCCTACAAAGACATGAATTTTTAATGAGGCGATTGCCACGCCTACAGGCTAGATCTTCATTGAATGATCCTTCCCGTCTTATTAGGTGATTTATAGGATGAACCTCCATAGGAGAAACCTAATTGCCTTATTAGGCGATCTATACGCTCGAACTTCACTAAATGTTCCTCATCTCCCCAACCCAAATAGACCGCATAAAGTGTATACCTTAAATGACAAAAAAAAACATGGAAACTCTATAAAGAAAACATGTTAATAATAATGCTCTAAAATATATGATTTCAAAAATTTCAGACGAATATGATTAAAAAAAACATGATTAAGTATTAAAATATTTTATATAGTATTGACTAATCAAATTCACATTTTCTTATTTTTGTTGTTGTTGTAAATATCAGTTTTTTTTGTAAATATCAGTTTGAGTATATATTAATCATCAGAAGAAAAAAATATTACCATTTTAAAAAAAAAACTTTATTTTAAAATTCATAGGTCTTAAATCAATAGGCATGGCTAAATAGGTGGAGGGAGGACCTTTATATGTCTATGTTAGTTAAAGTATTTTAGTAAATAACACATCTAAATTGTGTGTGGTTTTTATATAGTAATTAACTAACTAAATTGTAAAATTAAGGGAAAATAATGGTCACAAAGTTTCACCTTAAATAATATGTGGTTTCCCATATGCTACATTAATTATGATAATTTCTAAAAATAATAAAACAATTAAAAAATAAAATCACAAAATATATTAGTCTGTTACGATCCACTTTAAAATATTACATATATTTTTTGCATTTTTCTATTACCACCTCTGTTTTGAAAGAAAAAAAATTATATCTTTTCTTTATTTTAAAATAATTATTCTCTTTACATTAACAATATAACATTTATTATTTTCATTATACTTAATCAATTATTATATTAATTATAATAAAAAATATTTTAATAATATTAATTTATCATTAATATTTAGTAAATATAATGTTATTTAAAAAACTGCATATTTAAAAAAAAAGTATTTTGAGAAATATAAAAAGTATTTAAAAATCTCTGCCAACCGCAGTACTATGTTTCATTATATGTTTTTTTTATACTAGTACTATGATTACTGTGTTTGTTAGTCATATGCTTCATTGTCTTTTTACCAATACTACTTCAAACATTTCAAAACTTTTTTTTGACTCATTATTATAAAATCTTTTGCTTATTGATAAAAACAAATATTTAAGTTATTATGTCAGCTTATTTTAAGAAGCTACTGTACATGCAAACCTTTGCATTAATTGTGTCAACTTAACTATCTAAACAAGCTAGTCTTACATGTATTCTTTGTCACATTAAGTGCTTAAGCATGCAAACTGATCACACAGTATTTTAAGAGTTTTTTGTGAAACTATTTTGTCTTAAAAGCTAAATTTATTCTTTAGTAAAACTAAAGCTAGACTATCTTAAAACTAGCTGAGTAAAACTAAAGCTAGATTATCTTAAAACTAGCTGAGACACCTACTTTTTTGACTCATTAATATTATAATTTCTTCTTAGATAATTACAATCATGTCAGCTTTTTTAAGAACATGCAAGTCCTGCATGTGATTGTGTCAGCTTAATTTCTTAAGCATGCAAATTCTACACACTATTTTAGACACTATTTTGTCTTAAAGTTTGGATTTATCATGTTGTAAATTCCTAGAATTTGACAGCAGAATATAACAAAATAAATCTAAAAACATGAGACATGGCTCTCATGCACAAAATCTAGAAACATAGGATAAGGTTTCCCCGCTACCGAACACCTACTAACATAGCATATAACACAGGTGAATATAACAAAATCAAACTGTTATTGTGACTTTATAGTTATATACTATGTGAGTTTTGTGTAACAGTTCCATGTGATGCTACTTGTTACTTAAAAAATATGTATATGTTAGACTGCTTTTTAGAAACAATTTTAAAAATACACAAAAGATAACAAAAACAATGAATGAAGGTGCAGTAGTGTATTAGTGCTTCATACTACTGTTAATCTAAGCTTTAAAAATATGATATGACAAAAAAAATATGTTTAATTTTTTTTAAAAATAAGATTACAATGATAGAATTGAAAGAAAAAAATAATTATAAACTACTTGAAATAACTTATCAAAATAAGGTATAATTTGATAACAATAAACTATAAGCACATGAAAACATAACAGTCACTAAACAGATTATTTAACCATAAACATAAATTATAAGAAATGAACTATGAACTTAAAAATTAATTTTGCCAAACAAAGTCTTACTGTCCTAGATATTTGCACTTTTTTCTTCTTACTTGTCTTTAAATAGCTCAGTTCACTTTCATTTCAATGCATATTTTACAACAACACAGTTTACTCACAAAAACATATCCCAAAAAAATGGCACGCAGAGTTGTTTTGTCTGTCCTCCCTTTTCTCCTACTCTTGTTAATTGTGAGTTAATAACTTTCTTCCATACTTTTATCTTTTACACTTACATTTTTTATCATTTATTTATCATAATAAACTATGATTTTCATCTTTTATCTTTTTACAGTCACATTTTTTTATCATCTATTTATCATAATATATCATTTTCATCTTTATTTGCAATTGTACATATATCTTAAATTTAATAAAATTCAACATGTTCATAATCCATCATTTTCATCTCTATTGCAATTGTCCATGCATGTTAAATTTAAGCATGCTGCTAAGATCATTCTTTTGAGTTGTTTTTCATGCATTCAACACACTCAAAATCAAGCTGTTCTATATGACTTAAATAAATTATGATGTTTTTTGTTGTAATGAAATTAAAAATATTCTACTCATTATTTTTAACTTTCAAATTATGTATCCATCTCCTGTATATACATACTAAATATTTCTTTCCAGTATAACAGGATGTGTCGCATAACACATTTGTGTTTTTTTAATCATATATACTATACAAAACACTAAATCCTCCCTTTATTCAATTGTATTGTAGAATGACTATGGAAGTTTTGCAAGAGATATGAACCAAGTTGATCAACCTTATCTCGATGGATGGTTGAAAGATATCCGAGTTGAGAAAGAAGAATCCAATCCTGACTCCAATCAAGTTTACCTTGACGGATGGTTGAAAGATACTCGAGTCGAAGAAGTCAGAGTTAACCCTGATTCCAACCAAGTATACCTTGATGGATGGTTGAAAGATACTCGAACCGAGAAAGACAAATCCAACCTCGACTCCAACCAAGTTTACCTTGATGGATGGTTGAAAAATACTCGAACTGAGAAAGTAAAATCCTCCCCTGACTCCAACCAAGTTTACCTTGATGGATGGTTGAAAGATATCCGAGATGAGAAAACAAAATCCACCCCTAACTCCAACCAAGTTTACGTTGATGGATGGTTGAAAGATATCCGAGTTGAGAAAGCAAAAGTGAATTCTGACTCCAACCAAGTTTACCTTGATGGATGGTTGAAAGATACCCGAGCTGAGAAAGTAAAAGTCAACCTTGACTCCAAACAAGTTTATCTTGATGGATGGTTGAAAGATACCCGAACCGAAAAAGAAAATTCCAACCCTGACTCTAACCAAGTTTACCTAGATGGATGGTTGAAAGATACAGGAGCAGGTAAGGAAACTTCCTCCCCTAACTCTAACCGTGTTTACCTTGATGGCTGGTTGAAAGATAACCATATTGAGAATGAAAAATCCATCACGAATTCCAAGCAAGCTTACCTTGATGGTTGGTTGAAAGACTCACATGCAGAGAACCACATTAAAATTGGACAAGATTTGGTGGTGTCAAACGAAAAACCATCTTCGAAAGTTGACCATACCGAAGCATTCAAGGTAGCTTTTTTCGGTATAGAAGATCTTTATGTAGGGAATGTAATGACCTTGCAATTTCCTATCAGAGAATATGCTAAGTTCTTGCCAAGAAAAGTTGCGGATGACATTCCTTTTTCCAAATCACAAATTCCAAGCCTTCTACAACTATTCTCACTCACAAAAGATTCTCCTAAAGGTGAAGATATGATAGACATAATTAATCAATGTGAGTTTAGACCCAACAAAGGGGAGACCAAGGCTTGTCCTACTTCTTTAGAGTCCATGCTTGAATTTGTTCATAGTGTTATTGGTGCCGAGACTAATTATAACATTCACTCGACTAGCTATCCCACGACATCAGGTGCACAATTGCAAAACTACACTGTTTTGGATATCTCAAAGGATATCTATGCTCCTAAATGGGTAGCATGTCACCCTAGGCCTTACCCATACGCTCTTTACTATTGTCACTACCTAGACATAGGAAGTAAGATCTTCAAAGTTCTTCTAAAGGGTGAATATGGAGACATAATGGATGCTTTGGGAATTTGCCACCTAGACACATCTGACATGGATCCTAATCATTTTATATTTGAACTACTTGGAATGAAGCCTGGGGAAGGTCCATTGTGCCATTTCTTCCCTGTTAAGCATGTCTTATGGGTGCCAAGTCCACCACATGCCACCAAATGAATAAAAGGGAACTAGTTCATATTGGTTAGTCGGTGTCTGTCCCAAAACTTTTCATGTTGTTCCTATGCTTTTAATTTGTGTAATTTCTGTGTACGTCAAGGTCTTGTTTCTAGGAACTAGATAATTGTGTTTTAAAATAAATCTCAATTTAATATGTTAAAGATTGAGTTGGCGTCAGTTTAGTCTTTCAAACTTAGGTAGTTTGTTAGACCGCTAAGTAAGGAGTTTAGTGTTATTATTATATGTTATCCTCAATACTGTAATTCTGTTTGTATTAATGGATATGAGAAATTGTCTTAAGAATTAATTTCTATCACTTTTCAATCATGAAAATGACATAGACAAATTATTGAAAGACCAAATCTATATCATTTCTATTGGGTTAAATTAAAGCCAGCTTAATTAATGTATATATTGTTTTCTTTTGGGTTGACAAGTTAATGACATATGCTATGTGATTCTGAACTTGCATGCAGAATTTAACATTTTGTATTAGAAAAAGGGTGTGTCTACACAAATCCATCTAGTATAGTAAATACAAAATGTTGCTGCTGCAGCAACAAAATGTTGGTATGCAGTATTTAGAGAATCAACCACACTATCCATGAGCCTGTTTAATCATGTTAAGCAAGCAAATTTAAGATTCTTGTGATGTAGACGCCTATGAAGCACAAACAAATATTAGTTAGGAAAATCTTTTCTTATTATGTGTTAATAAATAAGTATAAAAATTATACTAGGTTTAGTTTTATGTCATTATAGATTTAAAATAAATCAAAGTCTCTTTTTGAATAGCCATAAATTAAAAATTAATGTTATTAAATACAGTGGCGGATCTTAATTAAAATATTAAAGAGCGGTATATATTAACTAAAATGTTATATTTAAATTGACTAAAAATTATAAAATTTAGATATAATTTTTTCGAATATTCAAAATAACTTTAACAAAATAAAAATAGAATTTATGAAAGAAGATATCCAACCTCGAATTAAAGTATCGTCTTCCACATTTTAAAGATTTGAACTCATCCATAATTGAATCAGTGGTGAAGTGTTTAGGTATTTCTTTTCCAATGTAAAACATATCATATTATCAGAAAGAAATTCATCCTCCATCTTATTGCTCAATCTTGTCTTGATTATCTTCATTGCTGAGAATGATATTTATTTTTGTAAAAACTTGAAGAGTTAAGATAAGACCTATAACACCCACACATAATATAAGTCTAGAAAATGATGGTGAGAAAAACATAAGAAGGGAGGTTCAAGTGTGTTGGCTTTTCTCCTTTTTAAGTCTTTTCTTCTTATAATTCTGACTGATCTCAATCAAATTCTGAATACATAGTTCATAGTCTGAATCAGAATCACTAGATTTGCTTATGTAAGTCCTTATGAGATTTTGAACCAGAATCTGACTCAGTGTTGCGAAGTTGATAGCAGCTGAATAATAAGATCAGAAGCTAAGAAAGTAAAAGCAAAGACACACAGTTGTTATCTTGGTTCCTCTCACAACTTGAGAGTAGTCTTATTCCCCTATACTTTTAAGGGATTTTTCACTATAACCAACAAGATTACAAATGCTAAAGCACCAAGCAAGAGACTTCCAAATCTTAAATCCTCAAGTAAGATACTTTTATGCTCAAACACACAAGCAAGAGAATTCAAATGCTCAAGCACTAAAGCATGAAACTTCTGAATTTATAATAATCTATTAAGAGATTTGGGTAAAACTACACTTGATATGCAATCAGAGGTGTGGAGATAATACAACTTGATAAAACTCTTAAGATTTAAGAGCTTCTAAAATATACATAGAGGTAAGATGTGAAGGTTCCATGGTTTATAGTCTGACAATAATTTTTCTAAAACATGGTTCACTACAGGATGTCGTGTGTGATGTTGTAACATGCTACTAAGCTCACCTTTAGAGCATATGTCCTAACTAATGTTGGAACATGTTCTACTAAAACATCTATTCTGAGTGTTTTAAATCTTGACATATTTGATATGTTTTAATTATGTGATATTTCTTGTGGATATATCTTAGTAATTTTCGCAGGTCAAGAAGATGCTATCAAGAACAAGTTTTTGTATCTCCCGCTGTGCAAAAAACGCTAAAATTAAATGATGAGACATTTTAGGAAACTTTGAAGATTTGTCCTTGTTATTATGGAGAAGATTCTGCAGGTGGTTGAAAACTGACAAAATGAGAAGAGTCTAAGCCCATACTGCACGAGGGTATAAAAAGATACTTGCTAAACCTAAAATGCATGTGGAATTATTATTGAAGAAATTGTGTGTGTAAATAAGGGTTTAGGGTTTGAGTTCTTTTAGTGTACTGCTGTTGTGTGTCACTCATGTACCTTCTAATACATTGAGGTAGACTATTTTGTGAGCCATTCATTCATCACCAATATGCTTGAACTAAACTGATGTTATTGAGTTATAAGTGTCCAATATAAGTTTTTAAGCAAGAGTGAATTGTCCTTGATTGAAGCTTTTAGGCAAGATCAAGTATTGTTTTTGAAGTGTGTCTTCTTTTGATGCATTTTTATATTTATCACTGCTATTAGTGACTAGTAAGAAGAGAAAGGGGTTTTTCATACCTAAGAGAGTCTTAGGTGGAAATTGCACTGAGTAGGTATTAAGTGAGAAGTTTTAAACTGGGTTGTTTAGCTTTGAATTGATACTGCTAGTAATGGATTTCCTTCATGGCTTGTTAGCCCCCAGACGTAGGTGTTGTTATACACTGAACTGGGTTAACAATTCCTTGTGTTATGTTATTTTTCTGTACCTTTAACTTTGTGTACCTTGGTTATTACATTTTAAACAGATATCAGTGTCTCAATATCTCTTAGAACATCTGATATTTGCATACCAGAATTTCAATTGGTATCAAAGCAGACATCCTGCTCTGTATCTAGGTGAGATCTAGGGAAGATACTTTCTGGTATAATGGACAAGGAAGGAGGATTTGTGAATATACCACCCATTCTTGATGGAATCAACTATGATTATTGGAAGGCACATATGGTTGCCTTTCTGAAGTCTGTGGACAAAAAGGTTTGAAAGTCTGTGGTCAAGGGATGGGATCCTCCAATGACTAGAGATAAGGATGGTAAGATCACTGATGTGCTAAAGGTTGAGGAAGACTGGGATGATGAAGATGACAAGCTAGCTCTGGAAAACTCCAAAGCTTTAAATGCCCTATTCAATGGAATGAACGAGAACATCTTCAGACTGATAAATAATTGTACTGTTGCTAAAGATGCTTGGGAGATTTTGAAGACTGCTCATGAAGGAACCTCTAAGGTGAAGACGTCAAGACTTCAACTTCTTACCACCAAGTTTGAGAACTTGAAAATAAAGGAGGATGAGAGTATTCATGATTTTCACATGAATACTATTGAGATAGCCAATGCCTCAAGTGCCCGGGGGGAGAAGATGTCAGAAGCTAAGTTGGTCAGAAAAATTCTTAGATATCTTCCAAAGAGGTTTGACAAGAAACAAAAGAAAGGGTTTTCTGTATCATGGTTTGATGATGATGATGAGTCAGAAGATGAATCTAATTATGAGATTGTTAACATTGTGACTGCTCTCTCTGGTAGATGGGTTGATGAGGAAGAATCATGTGTAAAAAATTTCCTCTATGAAGATCTGGATAAGTCTTATAAGGAAACTTATGGAAAATGTGAATAACATATTAAGACAAAGGAGAATTAGAGGAAGATCATAAATGTACTGGAAAATTAAAAGAAAGAACTTCTATGTAGTGTTCATCATCTTCAGGATGAGGTAACCTTCCTAAAGTCCAAGCTCAATAACATGATAGACTCATTAAGGAGAATGAGTAACGAATATGATGTGGTGAAAGAGTATAGAAATGTAGGAGGTGATTATCCTTCTGATGATCAACAAAGCAATAAGTCTGTAGAGGAGTTCCATCCTTCTGAAAAGAAGAAAATGTTCACCATGTCCAACCACATGTTACAACATCCTGGCAGACATGATGTATCTTCAACAAAATCTAAAGCCTCAACTTGGAAGTGTCATTACTGTGGGGAATATGGTCATATTAAGCCTTTCTGATATAAGTTATATGGAGTGCAACAACCTTCAACTCGTTCCAAAGCCAATCAAGTAAGTAAGAAAAGAAGGTCTATCAACAAGGATGTGAATCTTATGGATCACACCTCCTTAAGAGTTTCAACTAGAGAAGACTGGTACTTTTACAGTGGATGCTCTAGACACGTGACAGGGATTCAAAGGCTGTTGGTGAATATTAGGTCTTATCCCACAGGGTCTGTCAGATACGGTGATGGATTTAAAGGAGAAATTAGAGGAGTGAGGAGATTGATGTGTGCAGGATCTCCTAATTTAGAAGATGTTCTTCTGGTGAAAGGAATGAATGCTAACCTTATTAGCATTAGTCAGCTTTTTGATCAAGGCTTGTTGGTCAATTTTTCAAGATCAGAATGCATAGTCAAAGATGAGAAAAATGTTGTTCTAATGAGAGGTATAATATCCAAGGATAACTGCTCATTCATCCACATGAGCTATAACCAACGAGGATGAAGTGGAGTTATGGCATCAGATTCTTGGGCATCTTCATCCTGATCGCGGTTTAGTGTGTCTAAATAAATCTGATTGCAAGTATATAGTCATATTGCGTAGTTTTAATAGATTATCAATCCACAGAGACTAGAAATTGAACGAACCATATTCTAATGTTACTATGTAAATCTAAGGCTAATCATTTTAGGAAAGTTAAATGCGAATGAAATTAAATCTTAAAAATGCTAAAATTTCTAATAAGAATAATCAATAACGGGCTGTCAGTATGCAACACATCAATCGTCGGGAATTTAATAAATAATCTATGTAAGTTAGGTTGTTCAAAATATTTTTTATTAGAAAAATACTTATTTAAAAATCCTTACCTCACACTCTCGTGTTTATCGATTCAGACTATATCGTTAAATCAAAATGAGCGCTCTC